TACAAGCTCATAAAGAAGGCTGGCTCAGTTCTGGGGACTCCTCTAGAACCTTTGGAGATGATTGTTCAAAGAAGGATTCTTCATGAAATGAAGAACATTATAGACAACCCTCAGCACCCTCTTCATCAGACTGTCATACAACAACAAAGTGTCTTCAGTCAGAGGCTTCTTTAAATCCGTTGTAGGACAGACCGCTACAAGAGATCCTTCCTGCCCACAGCCATCAGCATCTATAACAACTCATTAATGAAACCAGGATGATGAGTTACCACAACATATAATTTCCCTCTGGGATTAATAAAGTATTTTTGAATTGAATTGAATTGAATGTGGGTTCCCCCAGGCTGTAGGAATGCCCGAATGCCGGGCAGAACTCCTCCCAGAGCGACGGCCACTCCTCCCAGCAGTCTGCCGAGCTCCTCGATCGTCGCTGAGGACAGCCAGCTGCAGGGGCCGAGGGACGATCCTGTCCTTCTGCTGTCATGAGCCATGTTTCCTGTTAGTTCCAGGATCTCAGTGGTCAGGCACTCCAGCACAGCTGGCAGGTAGATGAGAATGCGTCCACAGAACATCCTTTTCAACTCATTTGAGATTTGGGGCTGTAGTTGAGATATTATTTAAGCTTCTGAGATGTTAATCAGCTGCTGTTGTTGTAGAAAACTGCCTTGCTGCAATGTTTACGTATCATAACAAATGTCCAAAACTAAAAAAAGTTTCTGTAAAAATCCTTCCAGCTGCACAGCATCCGATAGCAGAGGAAACAATCATCCAAAAAATGTGATTTGCATCCAGAAAAAGAGGAATTAAAGTTTCCAAAAGCAAAATCTCAGAATGAAAGTAACAGAGCTGCTCCAACATGCAGCCACCTTGAGCGGCACAATTCTTAATGTGCAATTCTCACTTATCAAGTTCATCCATTGATTTAGGTGAAAAAAAATGTTTAAACAAGGATTGTAAAAATTTATTACTTTGATGTTTTCCTTCCTATTCCAAACTTCAACAAATATATATTCTAAATGATTTCCTTTTGCTATTAATCTGCATTGTACTCCTTCTTTAATAAATGTTATGCATCCACCTGCATTTCCCTCTTCTCTGTCTCTCCGTAAACTAATATAACCCTAAAATCCAGTGTGGGTTTCAGCCATGTTTCCTGAACACAAATAATATCTGGTTTCTCTTTAAGATCTTTAATAAATTCTTTGAATTCCTGTCCATTTGCTGTAAGACTTCTTGCATTCATTGTAAAATAATCCGTTTGTCCTATCATTTGGTTCTCTCGACTTCCCATATGCTTCCAGTTTTTTAGTAACCTGTTCCCATAAAAGATCTTTCATTCCCAATAATTTATCTGCTCCTCCTACAATTATTTTTATTTTCTCTATTTTATGTTTAACCTGATCAGTGCAATTGATCACATATGCCATGAACAAAATCAGACTATCCACTATCAATCTTGTATCATTTCCTTCTCTTTGACTCATCTCAGACCAGATGCTGGTTTATGGGGAGTTCTCAAATCATCATTCTTTCTTTGCGGTTTACAACAGCTACAGCACTTTTCCTGCACATCATCTTCACATTCTTCAAACTTATGATTTGGGACACCTCTGTTTTCCAGCAATGTGCCCATATCTTTGACATTTGAAGCATCGTAGTGGTGGGGGAGAAAAAGAAAACAAACAAACAAACAACAACAAAAAAACTGCCAGATCGCCCGCGCCCACCAGACGCTTCTCCCGCGGTCTGAGAGATCACGCGGGACTTTCATTACTGACAGTGACATCATATTAAACATAGATATCATATAAACACTAGATACAGCATTGACCGCTATTGGCGCTGACGAGCTGTAGGGCCGCCATCTTGGAACGGTCGACCGCTCCACTCAGTGTATCAATCAACCTTTATTTATACAGGTATATCCTGTATAAATATATATATATATATACACACACACACACATTATAA